CCCCAAAACCCCAAAACCCCAAAACCCCAAAACCCCATACTAAGGGGATAAAATTGATAATTATAAATGGGATCTACATGCTGAGCAACTGATCAGAGGCAACCACAAGTAAAATTAACCCAATTCTGATCGTTCTTTTCATATTCTAAACCATAAATTTTGAGGAATAAATTATAAACTACCAAAAAATCCCAAAAAATCTCCGTCCCCTTCAAATTTCCAATTTTGTTCAAATCCCAAAAATTTACTCTCACACAGGACCCACGCGAGTCCTACTACACGAACAGATCAATCAAAGATCCGACTCGCCCAAGAGGTACACCCTCACTCACTCGTAGACAGACCCAGTTGTCAGAGTAGAACACTGTGCGACCAGGAGGCAGCAGTGGCTACAGGGATTCCAGGCAGAGGAAGGAACTTTGGTGCAGAAGAGAAGGGGTATGTGTAAGAGGATGGAGCTTGAGGGATGGGAAGAAGGAAGGGAATTTTAAGTGGGGAGGGAATTTGGGGTAGAGAGGAAGGGTGAAGGGAATGGGAAGGTGAGGGACTGGGAAGGGTGGTGAAAAATAAAGGTGGCTAATGTGTATTAACTTGGAATTATAGAATATCTGCTACAAAGAAAGAAATAGTCGCTGTAAGAAATTTTTAATATTATAGAGAGAGATTCCTCCAAGGTAAACTTTCAAAAATGACCTAAACCTTCAAATAAATTATCTTTAGCAAATTGATACATCTTAGCCATAGAATTGACTTCTCGGTATATTTTCTGTTATCTTTAGATATCATCAGAGACAAGCGGAACTAAGAGATCATTTTCTATTGGAGAGATGCGCTCACAAAAAGGTAAATCTTTTCTGCTCGGATATGATACATTCAAATAGGACACGAAAACAGCAAATCCAAACTGTCTATTAAAAATAATGATTATAAATCTCAAAGAAAGAGTAACGATATCCTCTTAACAAAATCTATTATAACCAATGAGGACGGAAAAAGCCTTGTCTTAGACCATTCCCTAAAATGCAGCACCATTCAAATCAAAAATGAAGGTGAGGATACCTCTGAGATCACCGCAGAGAACCTCCTCAACAACCCCCTCCCTCCTCAGCCGCCCAACACCCAAAACTCCGCCCAAAATAACCCTCCCATTTTCCCATCCTTAAATCTCAACTAATCCTACCTTCCACGGGGTTTTGGGGTTTTGGGGTTTTGGGGTTTTGGGG